ATTGAGCAGTATAGTTACATTTGCTTTTTGAAAGGCAGTATAGTTACATTTTAAAACAATAAAAGTCGACCTGTTTGTAATTAGTTCTCAAGAATTTTTGCTTTTTGTTAATGTTTGTATAGCCGGATATTGTTGCACCTGGAGTTGGTATCCTAGCTGCTTACTCGAAACTTAAGTCTGTCACCGGGTCTGAAGGCGACGATCGTTTCAATGCATTTTATATTATGTCTGGAACATCAATGGCTTGCCCTCATGCTAGTGCAGCTGCTGCCTATGTCAAGTCATTCCATCCTGACTGGTCTATCAGTTCAATCAAATCTGCTCTGATGACAACAGGTTAGTCTCTTCAAATATTCATGTTTTCCGTATTGGACTTGTTCCTTAAACTTTTGGGAAAATAATTTTGAACTCATTTTTGACATAAAATTCATATATTGATTACTTAACCGCACGATATATATTTCTTGTTAAATCAGCATCTGAAATGAAAGTTGGAGACAAATATGTTGAGTTTGCCTATGGATCTGGCCAAATTGATCCTCAAAGAGCTGTTAATCCTGGCTTGGTATATAACCTGTCCGAAATTGACTACATCCGGTACTTATGCAACGAAGGCTACTCGGGAACACGTCTAGGGTTGATCATCGATGAAGATGTTAACTGCTCAAGCATCCCCAAGTTTGCAGGCCAAGATGTTCTAAACTACCCATCCATGGTTTTGGTGCATGAGGACGCTGAGCCAAATATTTCAGCTGTTTTCAATCGAATTGTTACAAATGTAGGAGATGGAAATTCTACATACAAGGCAATCGTGAAGGGTCCGGCGAGTCTCAACATCACAGTTTCCCCTGACACGCTAGTGTTTAATAAAGTGAATCAGCAGAAATCTTTTACAGTTGAGTTGAAAGGGCCACCATTAAGCGGTAATTTTACTATTTTATCGGCATCCCTGGAATGGACTGACTCGGTTCACAGGGTGAGGAGCCCCATTGTCGTTTATCCTAAATCCTTGATAGTACGCAAGGATGACGAGCATTGAAACATTTAGGCCTGATGTAAGTTTCTGGAGTTTATGTTTGATTCTCAGTTCTGGTTCAGTTATTGAGCCAGGTTGCTACTAAAATATTCTTTATTGGTTCTAATTTGTGAACATTGACAGTGGTAGTCAAAATGTTCTTTTGTTTGATTTATTTGTAATTATTTTTTATGATTTTAATAAAAGAAAATTATTTATATAAATTAAGGGTGTGTTTGGCTATAGAAACATTTTGTGATTTTATGTCCTCATTTTATTTTTATAAAAAATAAAATATATTTATTATTTTATTTTATTTTATTTTCTAAATCTCTATATGATTTTCCTGAAATCTAAATCCCTTAACATTTCACAATAGTCTGGTGTTAGCATTACAATTACTAATCCTAATCTTAGCCAACATCCCGTTGACCCCTTTAACATATTTCATATGCAGAACGACTTATCAAGCCCATCACTTTCATTGGGCTTCAAGACTTTGGGCCTGGTTTAGAGCCCATTCAGCGTATAGAAAGAGAAAATTATATTCACTCATAATCTTAAATTTTTAAATTCCATTGAAATTTTTCTCTTTAAAATTAATTATTTTTTCGAATTATTATTTTCTTCATTTTTGTGAAGCTTTCAATGAAGCTTTTAAAATTTATATGCTAAATTAAAATATTACTATATGTTTTTTATTTATCATATTAACTTTATTAATTTTAAAAAACAAAGCTTTGTTTCACAGTGGCATAGATGTTATTATAAAGATTTCTAGGGGTTCAAACATGAACATCTTGACGTTCCGACTTAAGACCGACCAAGATCATAACTGAAGCCCTATTGTTCCATTCGCCAGTTCGTTGTCTTCCCCACTGTCACTTCACTTCACCATATGAGCACTCAGTTCATGCAGGAAACCGTTCTTAACAATGGCAGTGCCCATCCAGAACGTTCTCCCTACTGGGTTCATTCACTCCATGCATTCTGAGGTGACCCATTTTCTTTTCTTATGCCGTTGTAGCAATTTTACTGCAACTTGGATTTTAAATTTTTCATGGTTTAACTCAGTTGTTTGATATTCTTGTTTGGTTTATTGGGACTTGATTGTGGTTCTCTTATAGATTGTAATATCATCAGTAAGTTTGAACGAGATTGGTTAAGTACTTGCTTTTCTTTTTCTTTTCCCAAATGTGATATAAATGAATAATTAAGTGTTCAAAGTTCTTTATGAGCACTCTTCTTTCAAACAAAATGCTAACCGTTTAATCATACAATTTTGGATCTTTGTAATAATTTCAGGAAATCGTTGATGACCAATTCTATCAGCTGGATGCCATCAAGGACCCCGTTAGGCCTGTTTATATTGTTGGAGCAGAGGCTGCATCATTAGTCTCAGGTTTGGAAACAGGATGTTATGATGCAGTGCGTGTTAATGCATTCCACGTCTTTTGATTGGAATATTACGTCTTGCCTAGTGTCATGTGAACAGTTGCCTGATGACTGTCTATGAATCTTGTTCTTTAAAGTGGAAAATGTACTGGGTGCCATAAGGTTTAAACTCCTTTATCTAAAATTTTAGTTCTAGACAATGAGGTGGTTATGAAGACTAAGGTTCAAGTGATCATAAACAACGTTTCTATGTTGTAAGAGTTATTTGTTACGACTGCAAAATAAGGGCACATACCTTTTCAGAGTTTCACCAAACTGAATTTGTCAATTAAGAATTCTTTGAGCTGGCATTGTTAGTCATTTCGAAAAAACCTCTGAATTGATTATCCTAAATTTAGGGGTTTACTGTAACAAAATATTGGGAGGTTCATACTTAATCCAGAGGAGGCAC